TTTTTTTTCCTTTTTTCTTTTTCTTTTTTTCTTTTTCTTTTTCTATTTTTTCCAGAATACCAATACAAATTGTATATTCTGGTAGGGACCGTTTGGGGCTTTAGAAACATTGGAAGTGTCTGTTCAGCCGGTACTGTGCTAATCTCAAGCTTCTACAACGAAAAAAGAATGAGGATTTAGTTGGTCGGATTTTGATTCCATTGGGCGTCTAGGATGATCATTGAAAGGTGAAGTTCTCACTTCTTTTTCTGACTCCCCTGGCTTGGCATTTTGAATACGAATTAGGAAGAATGAATAAAGAAAAGTAATTCTCTGTCCTAACAAAGAGAAAAAAGATAAAATGAAAGGAGAAGAAAGCAAAAAGAAATGATTGCGCCTGGGAATTACTGTGCACCCCAGGGCCGGTATTTGATGCTTTCAAGTAACCCAAAGAACGGTATACAGTTCTCTTTGCCAATGTGGCGTCCTATAATATTCCTTAAACTTTCTCGGAGGCCTAATCATGCTGGTCATCAATACGAGATTATTCAGTGTCTCTATCTGAACGAAAGCTCTTCGAACCTTGACATGGCGTAATAGCCCCGACTATCAAAGACAGTGATCTTCCGCTCTCTTTGTTCGTTCAGATAACATAGTACCACGACGCTGCGCTTTAATCTTCAATGACATACCGATACATAAGGGAGACCCTTGAATTGCACCATCTTGTTTCTCTATTCCGCATGCTATTCTGGATCGATATAGAACCGCGTTTGCTTTCGATAGCAGAAAGAAGCGAAGTCTTCTTGGCTACACGGTGTTAAACTCCCCCATACTTCCCACCTTTTCTTTCCAGTTTTTCCCCTCATTGGACGCCCGGCTTTCGCTCAACTAGTACCCTCCACGACGAATCCTTTGGGCCTTGGTCTGTCATTTTCAACTCTCACTAAGACTTACTCAGAGGAGTCCTTGCACAAAGTGAATATGGCAGAAGAACAGAGGTAAGTCATGCGAAACGCTCAGGTGAGCTTGGGGCAAAACTTAACTTGAGTATGTCGAATCCAAAAGGAGGCTCGAAGCCCTAGCTAGGAGTTTGGAGGAACGTGAGAGGTATGTGAATATGAACAGTCGACTTGAGAATGTAAAGTTGAGGTCTGACAAACACATTAGGGCCATTGAAGGTGAACGAAGAGCCCTTGAACATGAACGGAGGGCCAATGAAGATGAACGAAGGGCCAATGAAGATGAACGAAGGGCCAATGAAGATGAACGAAGAGCCCTTGAAGCGGAACGAACAGCACTTGAAGAGAAAGCGAGAGCGGATGAAGAAAAGAGCAGGCATCGCGACGAGTTACTCCGAGATACGACGTTCATCGAATTGATTCGACAATGCCATGAGTCTCTTTCGAAGTCCATGACACTCGGAACCAAGTCTAAATGTACGAGAGGGCCACCACATGAGGCCACTGGCAAGGTCTGCCCGGATCGATTCGAGCACTGGTCAGAGGTTTCGCGCAAGCAGGATGATATATACAGTGCTGTTTGTAAATTTCTCGAGCCAACTGACAATGACGGAAAGCGCCTTTTTGATTCGATAGATTCCATCGAAGTCTCTGGGAAACATATAAAAAAGAATGAGATAACGAGTGAAAAGGATATAGAACTCTATGAGCGCTTTGCGGTGGAAAACCATGTTGTCAGCATCATTGCTGAGCTCAGCAAAATCCCTGCTGCCCGCGAATATTTCCACTTGAACTTTGAGGGTATCAAATACATGAACCACCTTTCCAATCTCAGATCATTCATGAAGGTTCTATGTAAGGAGAGAGGAGTTACACTGCCAATCACTTCCAAACCTGACTCAGTCTGCCTATGGTACGATGAGGAGGGAGAAAGGCTAGTCTTGACAGGGGAATATAAACCGCCCCACAAGTTACCCATGGATACCCTTCGCGCAGGCTTGAGGACGCATAACTTCTACGAGGAAATTGTTGGGAGCCATACTATCCCAACGGAAGAAACAGAAAGGATGAAATATAAGGCAGCCCGCCTGGCAGGCTCGGCGATAGTCCAGGAATATCATACAATGATATTGCTAGGGCTGGAGTACGGGTATGTGACCACTGGTTTGGGGATAGTTCTCCTGCGGGTGCCTTACGACAACCCACAAACTCTGCAATTCCACCTTTGCGAGCCCCATATGGAGGTCGATCAAGGGGGTGACAAGTGGTTCTTACGGCCTTTAACTGCTATTGCACGAGTGCTATGTTTAACACTCATGGGCTTTGGCTCGCAGCCCCGTGGCGTTGAATGGTCCGCTAAGACAAAGCCCACGTTGGAAACCTGGATCACAAGTTTTGACTTGACGTATATCAGTCAGAACAAAGGGGAACAAGCACCAAACGATCCTTCAGACAAAACATTCATCCCCCCCAGAAAGAGCAAAGTTGCGGCATCCGCAGGAAGAGGCAAAACTACCCGTTCACGAGCTCGCTGCAGCGAAAACCACATGAAATCCAAGCGAGAGGATACAACAGACCCTGATCCCGACTCAGCCCCAGGACAAAAACGCCGCTTGATGGATACCACATCTTCTGCATTACCTGCCATTGAGAAACGCTCAAAGCGTCCCAAATATGCAGGAGGTGGAGCCAAGAGTCGCCAGCGTCAGAGCCTACCATTCTGCACGCAAAATTGCCTCCGTGGCTTAAAGAAGCGTGGCAAACTGGACAAAGATTGTCCAAACTTCAAGCTCCACCAGGAGAATGGGTCAACCCATCACCGTACAAACACCCGTGGGTTGGCCAAGTTGATCAAGGCTGCAATAGATGAGTGTCTTGACCGTGCAGAACCGATGGGAGGCTGCGGCCTGTCTGGTGCACCGTTTAAACTCACCTGCGTCAGGTATGGGTATACTATTGTTGGCAAAGGTACCACCTGCTACCTTTGGCCCCAGTTGGAATGTGAAGCCGATATTTACCGAATGCTTGAGCCTGTACAGGGATCCGCAGTCCCAGTATATATCGGAAAGATTGACTTGCGCAGGATGTACTTTCTTCTCGGAGCGGGGCCTATCAGACACATGCTACTCATGGGATGGGGTGGAGAGAGTATTGACGAGGTCGAGGTCGACAGCCATATTTTACGACAAAGTGTAAATGATTCCGCTAAAGTTATCCAGTCTCTTGGCGTTCAACACCAAGACCTTGGATCAGGCAATATTCTCTGGAACTCGGAGCTGAGTCGGGCCATGATCATTGACTTTCATATGTGCACATTCGCCATGGAATTGGTCAGAAAGAAGCCAACGTGGCTCACTAACGAGAACTCCCAAATGGAAATGATCGAGCATGATCAGGAGCGCCGGCATTGTGAATACCATGGCGTATGCCTTCATCCCCCAGATGGAACATGTCCAAACGTATTGTTGGACATATATTAATACCACCTCTGCCAGCAGCATATGGGTCTCTTCTACGAGAGTTCATGTGGAAGAGAATTAGGATTGTCCGAATACCTGGTCATATGTCACTACGCGGGATTGTCGGGAGTTGAGTTGGCTTGCTTTGACTCCCTTTTTAAATGAGTCTAACAAAATGAATGAACGGCTTCCAATGTCGTACTGCGGAAGTCCAGTTTTGGCTTCACAACATGTCTTGTTACTTTGAGACAATCGTATTCTTTTTTTCCCCTCCTCCTGGGTGAATATCAAATAGCTGTTGGATATACAATCAGAATGCTTTTTCTATCCTCATTGTTCGAAGAAAAAAGGGGAGTGTAACCATTCCCACCCTAAGTCATTTCTCGTGCCTCAATTCTAGCCCCCATCACCTGCCCCTTCCTCTGTTACCAACGTCGAAATTTAGCGAGTGCCTAATACCGTCCCAACTTAGCCTAGTCCATAAGAATCCTACTATTGTCAACAATAATAATCCCCGGGAAGTCTCTCTCCCCGGCTTTTCTCCGGACGATTCAGACCCGCGGGGTACCGCGCAAATAGTACTGATTGGCCCGAGCAAGAACCAACTGGAGCCCTCCGCATTCGGCTCGACCCGCCTATGCGGAGGGATGAGCCAATGGACAATACATAACAAACGGTACTAGGGATTTTAGGGGTCTGGGCGCGAAGGTGTGGTTGGTAGGAATAAGACCTGATGACGAGGCGGTAGCTCGGGATTACTTTTTTTTTTCTTTTCTTTTTTTCTTTATTCCCCAAAGAAAGAGGGGCGGAATATAGCCTAAGTGGATTGGTCTGATTAAGTACTACACTGCATTATTTCCTTGGTATTACGGCTAAAGAGGGGGCTGATGACAGTAAGTAAGTAGCAGCCAATCGTGCTTTGTTTGCTCCTTCATGGCTGGCTTGCTTCCAGCCGTTCCGGATACGGATAGCCGGGCCTTTCCTTTCTGTCCGTCTTTCCCTCCCCTTTGGTATTAGGTTTCACCCGCGCCCCCCTTTGATATGGTTATGGCACTGTATGCTCGGCTCCACCACATGCGGCTGGCTTACGCCGAGGGAGGAGCCAGGGCCACATCGTCAGCATGGACCGCCTTCTCGGGAATCTTCTCGGTAGATTCAATCATCTCCCCGTGAAGCAGTGCCGTCAAGCCGATCTCGCGATCAATCTGTTGTCGGAGCGCCTCGTCTTCGGCTGCCATGCCCTCAGAGCCGAATAGTTCGTCCATCTCTTCTAGTGTGCGCCCCTTGGTTTCGGGAACGAAGAACCACACGTAGACCGCTCCGACCACGGTGATGCAGCCGAAGAAGATGAAGGTGCCGTAGGTGGAGGCGGCGATGAAGGGGGAGGTGGCTAGACCGACACCGAAGTTGTTGAGCTGGGAGTAGTCAGCATTAGTGTTTCTCTGAAAGAAGTGGTACTGGATCACTTACCCAGTTGCTGCTACCGCCGATACTGACGCCCTTGGCACGCATGCTGAGCGGGAAAACTTCGGATACCACGATCCATGCGCACGGACCTATTTGAAATAGTAAGCATTACTGTTAATGAGTGCGAGTTATTGATCGGATATCACGTACCCCATGAGTAGGCAAAGTTAATGATGAAGATCCACACGAATGCGACTGTCGCCCATCCTGCGCTCTTGTGCTCTCCAAATGTCCCCTCGTACGAGCCAATGAGACCCGCGCAGATGAAATGGCAGACTGCCATACCAACCGCACCGGCAAGTAGGATCTTCTTACGACCGATGTTGTCGACCCAGAGAACGGCAGGGATTGTGAAGACAAACTCGAAGATACCAGCAACACCGGTAGCCAAGAGGGATGTCGTATTTCCTCCCAATTCAAGGCCTTCGAAGACTTGAGGCGCGTAGTAGTTAATGGCATTGATTCCGTTCCATTGTTGGAAAAGCATGATCAAGCACTACAGATGTCAGTAATGAAGTATGTGAAGTTGGAGATGAGTCCTAGCATACCGCAACAGTGGTCCGCTTGAACAGTGACGGGTTTGTGATGAGCGAAAGGTAGTCGTGGAACCCAATCATGAAGTTACTCTTAAACGATCCATCCTGATATTGAGGGTACTTCTTCTTGGCAGTTTCCTCCTCAAACATCTTGAGCGACTTGATCTCCAAGTACTCGATGCGAACCAGAATGTCGTCGGTGGGGGCATCGCGAAGTCGGGCAAGAGTCTGCAAACATTCCTCGTCCCGTCCCTGGTTCATCAGATGACGAGGCGACTGAGGCATGAACAAAACCATTCCCGCAGCGAGGATCAGGGCCGGGAGGACTTGAATGCAAACGGGGATCTCCCAGGCCGCAATGGACTGTCCATCACCTGTCCCGCCAATGTAGTTGGTGCCGTAGCCAATCTGTCATAGTTAGCTTTTGATTTCAAAAAATATATAGATAGTATAACATACCCAGAAGCTGACCATGATACCGAAGGTAATGGAAAGCTGCTGCACGGCGACTAGAGAGCCACGAATTTCGGGGGGAGCCTAAATCGTCAACACTCGTGAACATGTACCGGGAAGGCGCTGTGTGACGTACCAGCTCTGCGTTATACAGAGGAACAATCATACTCAGATTACCCACTCCCAGACCGGTAACGAACCGACCGGCAAAAACATAGCCTGCGTTTTTCGTACAAGCCTGGACAATCACACCGACGCAGAAGATGACCACAGCAACAACGACAGTTTGACGACGACCCATGGCATCGGCGAGATAACCGTTCAATAGTGTACCGACCCACGCTCCCAATTCCAGAATGGATGTAAGCATACCCTGCTTAAGACCGGTTCGCGCTGCATATCCGTCGGTCTTTACCTGTTAGCGTGGGTGCGAGACGAGGTGAAGAGATGGCATACCGCTTTGATGAAGGAGTTCATTGTAAGAATCTCGGAGAACATTCCCTGGTTGTCTTCCAAGCCCGTTAGCCGGGTTTCGTTGTCAATAAGCCATATCAAACCTACATCCATAGACGAAACCACCCAGCGACGCGAAAAGAGCAATCGCAAAGGTCTTCTTGCTGCTCAGGAGCCCGCGCCATCCGACGCGATTGCCGGCGAGCTCAGCACGCTTGCCGGACACGGCCTCAGCGCCCGCACCCATACCCATATTGAAGGATGGTATGGACAGTCACGGTACAAACCCTGCAGACGACCGATGAAATGAACAGAGAACAGTGTAATTCACAAGATATGTGAGTGACAGAAAGTAAGAGAACGAAGACCAACGATCGTCATCTCGCGGGGAGCATGCGACATAAAAACAACCGGACCAGGACGCAACGCCTACCATTCGTCCCGTATAGCTATAGCTGCAGCATCATCCTTTCCTCGACTGCTTTTGTTTTTTTGTTTAGGCTATTCCAATTTGAAACTAGATCAATGTCGCTACTGGCCGACATCGATGTCATGCAATTTCACGAAGCGTGTCCCATAGCCCCATGATTGGGCATTCGATTTAGCCAGACTTCATCCATCGGTGCCAGACTAGCTAGGTCTGGTAAGGCGTGCTACAATCCTTTTACCCCAAGGATTTCATTCATCCCCGTGGGGCCAGTCGGATGCCATGGGGGCTATGATTAGGCATGGTTTGTCATCGGCGCAGGTTCGGCATTGTGGAGGTCGGATTGGATTATATCCGCCGGTTGGATACAAGCTTCGTGGCGGGCGGCCTGGCAATGGCTACGCCTGGCGGTGCTTGGCAAGCGCTAGCCGGGTGACACGGTTGAATGATGACATCAAGTACATAGGTTGGGACAGATAGGATATCGTGAAATGGTATGAAAGCAGCCAGTGGATTTTGCGGGGATGGAAGAAAAGAGGGGAACCATGGTAAGGGCGAGGGGGCACGACCACCACTGTCAATGGAAAAAGCGGAGGTAGAATATGGGGGAATGCACAGGACGGATCTGGAGAGCAGAAGAGACCAGACCATTCTCTGACAGGCAATGATGGTCAGATTTAGCCGGATTACCCCTACAACCACCAAACTTGCAGCCATCAGGCCGGCACAACAGCCGGAAGTCGGCCCATGGTTAGGACTGCTCTTTTTCTCACTGGCTGGTCATGAAAATACCCATCAACCGTTAGGCTCTGTTCTTAGACCACTGTCACGATGTGTGATCACAGGTTTGCCACGAGTTGAGCTTCTGCGACACGTGGAATATCACCTCACTACTACTACAGCCCATCCAGTGTCCAACGCTAAAAGCCCCTTGCGTCTCCCACTCTGCGCTGGCGTATGTCGGCCACCCAACCGATCAGCGCCTGATTCCGCTCGGTCGCTATTGCGGGGTTCATTTCACGCCGTGATTTTTGCTTCGCAGTCTACTGCTTGCTCGAGCCGGCATCCTTCGCGCGGCAGATGGCTCGGGCCACCGTCGAGAGAATCGGGGTTGCCAGGATATGAGACCACCGACCTCCTGGTCCCGGCCTATCCAGGTATTCAAGTCCGAAGCCAACAGCTGGTCGTGCCGTCAGCCGGGCCCACTTGTGACTCACGCGCCTTCCTTGACTTGGAGGTAACATTCAATCAAGCCGGATCCATGGATTTTTCTGTGGGTTGGTGGTCAGATTGCGAGAGATGTATGCGATACATGTTTTGATGGCCGAATAGTCGAGGTCACGGTGCCATGGGGAAAAGGGGGTCAGCTCGGGGATCCCCACGGGGATGCCGGTGAGTGAACACAGTTTAGGTAGCCTCGGTTACCCGCCGAGAAGGGACAAGCGAGTCCAGGTTAAAGTCATTCGCCTTTGGCGTCTCCGCTGCTTTAGTGCATTTCATTCGCCCAGTGTGCCATGCAAAGGAAGGTGAGACGGAGAAGTGTCGATGTTGGTCCGTCGTGAGAACGGTTGGCCTGATTTGACTTGCGGCTCCCACCACTCACTCTCAACACCATCAGTTCTGGCGTCATGCTTCTGGCGCCACCTGCTAGCTCACTTCTTTATTAAGAGACATTGAGTATTGATACCAGTCACTGGGTGCCCCACCAAGGCGTCTTGGTCAGGTCCGAGGCAATAAAATCTTCCAGTATTAGCATCCAGTACGCCTGAATAGTATGGTCTCGAAATAGATACGAGCGCGCAAGAATATTGCAGGAACACAGGTGCAATACCTGTTCTTTGTCCTTCACCGACTTACATTAAAACAGATTTATTCGACAAAGTAGCATCGTTTCCGTCGCATCTTCCTTCATAGGGAGTAACTGCTAGTCACCGCCGGGTTGTGAGGTTTTCCCCACTGCGGGTTTCCCTTCCCGGCCGATGCCCGCAGCACAACACAGTGAATAGCGAAAATGTGCAAATGATGTTCCAACAACCTAGATAGACCCTAATCTCATTTACAAGATGATCGCTCCGTGTACGTCATCAGCAGAAGCTGAGATGTCTAGAGTTTTCATTAGGGGGTGTATATTTTTGCTCGGGCATATTACCAGCGTACCAACTTCACCACTACAACGTCCCAACAGCACTAGTTCTAATGGCATTGGCCCTGCCAATTCGCACTTACTTCTGACCTATTACAGCATGGAATCTATATGGTCCTACCAAGTTTACAGTACATCAATCTCCACCTGCCTGTCCTCGGACTTAAGAAGGAGGGTGATTACAGCTCGACTTGCATAAAATGAACTTAGTCTGTGCACCATGGTCACATCAAGCTCATTCCATCGAGCTGTCTAAAAATCCGGAACCAATGCAGTCTATGCTAGTACATTTCGTGATATAGTTTGCGAGGCCGGCTTATGTCCGATATTGGAGCGATCAGCGGCCCAAGCGCCTTACCAGCAGTGACAGGAAGCAACTGGCACCGGAAATTGTCTTAAGCGTATAATGCCACACTACGTTCTCTGAAAATTCTCTTACTGCTAAATTGTGACGCTATTCAACTAATGTTAACTATCTTACTAGATCAGCATTGCGCACAGGAAAAATGTGGGAAATGAAATGGGATCATTTCTGGAAGGATACAGCTCATCGCCAACAAGAGCATTCAACTTCGAAGTATATTACTACTTCAATATATTTCCCTTTAGACAACCATCATTTCTATACATCATCCACGCACTAATGTTGGATCATGTGTCTGTGCCACGGGGAGGAACAGTGACACAACAAGAAGCCAGGGTGATCCTGCTATCTCCGCAGCAAGGTCCCATAGAAGTCAAATTTTCGAGGTCAAGCAGCTGCTCATGGATTCCGAACGTAGAGCGAACCAGGTGTTTGGGAGCTTCCATACGCCATTTTCCATGATTTTCTGGACAGCATTGACGACACAAACCAGATTACTGGCAGTTATTCCGGCCATCAGATGCATCATGTACTTTTGATGTCTTCGAAAATCCAGTCAGGCGCATTGCGGGCATTGTCACAGCTACATGGCCGTCTGAAGGTAGGACGGACCGAACGGAGCTGATGAACTTCTTGTTATATGGTAGTCATTCGCTAGGGAACCACTGTCTGAAGGTAGATAAGAGACCGGTATCTAAAGTATCAATTCCTTTGCAACATGATATGGTAAGTGACATGGAAAGTCTATATGTTTCATGTGCTAAAGTATTACACTACAGCAATATTATAAGGTTCTGACCGCTAGTGGGAAGCTGTCGAGAATAGACATCACGCCCTAGCCGTGCGCAATTTCCGAAGAAGGCGACAGATAGCCTACAACCCAAATGTGATGCTAGCTTTCGCAACATATGAATCATGGATACCATTAATGCTATTCTGATCGCTATAAATTTCATCTCTATCAAGTAATAATGTTCTACCTCATCGGCATGATAGTTAAGCTTCCCGTGAGCGCCGACCCGGCACACATGGTCACCCGTATCGACAGGGATGTTGATAGCTGGGATTGCCAACTCACAAACACCAGTTCAACCCCAGCAAATGCAAGCCAATTGCATCCAAGCTATAAGCGCCCTCAAGTCAACAAAAGCCTCAACAGCAAATGTCGCGATTTTGCGAACTTGCCATCCGGTTTCCCACCTTGAGAAAACCTCTCTCTGCGCGAAACATACACCATCCAGGCAGAACCTAAAAGCCTCACTCTAGCCAACATGCCCAAATACGCTGTTTTAGGCTCAACCGGCAAGTGCGGCACCGCACTCCTCAATATCCTCATGAAGCGACCGGACGCACACATCAACGCATACTGCCGCGACAAAGCGAAACTCTTACGTCTCATGCCCGAGGTCTCTGAGAACCAAGACAAGATAACCATATTCGAGGGCAGTATCCACGATGAAGAGCTTCTGGGTGCTTGTATGTACGACTGCCGCGCCATCTTTCTTGTTGTGTCTACAAACGACAACCTCCCAGGCTGTCGGTTGGGACAGGACACGGCCACGACGGTCATTAGCGCCTTACAAGCTCTGAATCAAGCACCAAAAATTGCGTTACTATCGTCTGCATCACTGGACGAACAGCTATCGCGCCATGTCCCGGTATTACTTAAGCAGATACTACTCCGCTCCGCCTCGTTCGTGTATGACGATCTCGTCAAAACGGAAGGTATCCTGCGCAAGGAAGCGGCATGGCTGACTACTATCTTCGTCAAGCCTGGCGCACTGTCGGTGGATGTACAGCGCGGGCATGCGCTAAGTTTCACTGAGGAGAATGGCCCGCTGTCGTATTTGGATCTGGCGGCTGGGATGCTTGAGGCGGTGGATGATCCAGATGGGCGCTATGATATGCGCAATGTTTGTGTTGTGAATACGAATGGCAGGGCGAAGTTTCCGTGGGGCACACCTATGTGTATCCTGATGGGGCTGGTGAGACATTACTTTCCGTTTTTGCATCCGTATTTGCCGTCTACGGGGCCTGCTTAGTGTCATGGTCTCTACAGGGGCCGTTGGAGGTTGGTTTCGTATGATTTAGCGCAAGAGATATCAGGTTCAAAGAAAAGAATATAAAGGCATATTAACAAGTACATAACCGATAAGCAAAGTCATATTCATCACATATCATAGGTCCCAACGATACCCACAATGATTGACGCACCAGCCATCCACCAACTCGCCACACCAAAAGCACCCGAAATATCCTGCTTGAAAACAGTCCACAGTACCCCAAAAAGCAAACTTGGAGGGAAGAAGCCCAATGCGAGAATCCACCAAATCTTCGCCCAGTTCCAGTCTTCCTTGTAAAAGATACCCCATGCCTCGGTAGGATTTATGTACTCATTCTGCAGCTTCCCACATGCCCGTTTCGGAAGTTGTTGAACAATCAAGGTGCTATTTGGGGCAATGTACTGAGGGTTGTTGAAGAAGTCCATCATGAGTCGTGGGCCGATAGGTGGGGAAAGCTTTGGAGGAACCGGACGACAGTCGTATTCCTTTCCTTTAGGGAGGACAAGTTGCTCGGGAGGCACGCAGACACAAGGTCTGCCCGTTTCGCAGATTTCTTCGTGGCATCGAACATCGATGTAGCGGCTTCCGCCATAGGCAAACTGGTGCGTGGTAAGCATATGAGGAGTGCCGGGGAAGGTCTGCTTACCTTCATGAAATGAATACTATGCAGGGTTTTCAGAGACCATATGGGTCTTAGTCGTCCTCGGTGCTCATGGTAGATACGGCGTAGTGTGTAAAACAACTGCCTATCATCTGCTACGCCTATGATAGACTTTTGGCGTAGCTCTACTGCATATCTGCTTTTTTCAAGACATGACAGGAGAAGTGGAGGATGAGAGACCATTTCACCCAGTTCAACATCCGTTTGGCTGTCGCTAGTGGGTATAATATTCGAGCCTTGTAATTGATTCGTAAATCTACTCGAGGGAGAGTGTTGCATCTGTGATGCGCTCGAAGTTGAATTACAGGAAGAGGTGGAGCTTGTTGTGACTTGCTGACTACCACCATTCATATCAGCAGTTGTGACATATGCTGATGACCTTAAGAATGCCTTCATGTCTTCCAAAGCACCTGGCACATGCTCGACATAATCATCATACAGCCATTTGTCCCGACCCTGTGAGACGTCAATCGCGAAAGACACCGGCTTGTGGTTATAGGTGTTGATTACTTACATTCTTCCATCTGATCCGTGTGTAGCCTCGTCGAGTCTCGCTTTCTCTTAGGCCGATACGAGACAGAATTGTCAGTGTTCCATGGTAGGTCTTGGATAGCAAAGATGGAGTAGGTGATGGGCCTTCAGGTAAGGTTTCAGCAGTCATGATCTGCAATTCCGGGGCATTGTCGACGTATTCCTTCGGCGTTATGGCTCTCAAGGGGGTTTCATCTTCCAACAAACGCAATTCATTATGCACCGCTGTACCCCCACCACGATACCCCGTCTCATCCGCGGAATATAAGGCACGGGTCAGAAGAGAATCCTTTTGTTTGCTATACCCATCCAAGTGCCGCGAAATGACAGTATCTTGGTGGCTGCCGAGTCCAGATAACTCAGGAGATTTAGTCATATAACCAACCAACCCGCTTGACAGTTGATGGTCTGGCCTCCTCACACACGGTTCCGCTTGGACAGTATCAGCGCCTGCATACTGATAGGTGGGTTCTCCTTCCAGCGGCCGATTCAAGGATATTAATCTTTCGATATCTGGAAGCTGACTGTCTGACGGGACATAAGCAAAGGCTTGCATTTGACGGATGTATTCCTGTTCTCTCTTCGCTCTCCACTGCCGGACTGATTCTAAAGTGTTCCCCAGGCTGTAGCGACTTCTAAACTGTCGAGGCTTGGCGGATACCGTACTTGCGACGCTGTTTTACATCAGTAGATAATTCGGCTAGATTGAAGATTACGTTTGTTCGAACTCTATTGGTCTTGGATTAGAGACGACACGTAGCGAGGGATATTGGTCATCTTGATTGCCGTTTCGTATCGATCCTAATGTGTGCGAGATACCGTCGGACGCAGGTGGGGCTTGGTCGAGGGCTGTAGGGCTAGCTGCACGTTCGGTACTGCGTTCCATGGCCTCATCGGTGGCCATATATGTCAGAGACTGAAGATATAGTTTCCTGAGTACTCACTCTTCGTTTGATGGGCCTGTGGCTGTCTCTGCAACCCGAAATTCGGAAACATTGCTCGGATTTGAAGGCATGGCCTGAAGTGTCAACCAAGTTGATGGTGTCTCAATCTGGAAGGCGTTGTTGGCTAAGTATCATACCAATCAATCGCGAAATTGAAAGCTAGCACTGTTCAAGGATTGGTGCAATCAGGTGAATCAAGCTCTTAAAACACTTGAGCATAATAATAAGTGAAGAAAGATTTGTGGAAATGAGGATGAGGGAGAGTTGCAAAAAATAGGTGAAATAGGTGAATGGGGGCGTTGATTGGGCTGCATCGAGGCGGTGCTTGGACAGCTACTTATTCTCGCCCAATAATCATCCATCTGCTCCCGCGTACGATGTGGCGGAGCGCCTACAGGAAGAATCGAGGATTACAAGGGCCCGTCTGGTTGTCAATTCGCAAATCGCATCAGATGATTACTCCAGGAGGGCGGTTAAACCTTCTGCCAATCTGGGCCCTCCCGCTTTCCCCGGTCGCTGTGCTTTACGCTGTATACTTGCACTGAAAACTTCACTGGTGTTAAATGCAAAAGACATGTCAGCACGTGCGTGGCTTTATATAAACTTCCTAGTGAGGCATCACTATCTTAGTACATACAAGAAATCTCAGGTCCTGGGTCCTAGATCAATTTATCCTACTGGCTTCTTCCTTTCCAATCCGGGATACTGCTAGTTAGACCACCATTATGACACCAAAGGGATGAGTATAAGCTCCATGGTACTGAACATGGCTATTAGTGAATCCTTTTCGCGCGAGACTAGGTATCATGGTCTGGATAAAGGGGTTGCTATGATGGCCTCTTTCTAGATACCCTTCACATTCAATAGGATGTGTGGAACGGCTGCAATCAGGCGTCCTTCTCGCGACTTCCTGAAGCATGCGATGCACTGACTTGTCTGCCTAGCCCCGCTGTATCTTGCCCACTATGTTCCACGTATTTTGTAACAAAACAACTGCAAGGAAGGTCCTCAGTCTCCGTATCAACATCCATTAGGTTATCACCCAGTGCTGAGCTAGTCGAGAGCTCAGTATCATCCGACTGTGTCTGACCTTGAGCCACTAGCTGATTAGAAGGAACAGAACTGGTCGATGCATCGCCATGGTCACTGTCCAGATCAGAGGCGGTCATAATTCTGCGTTGTTTTAGGAACTCATACACGCACATGAGGTCGTAGAGTGTATACTCTTGCCCTTCGGGAAAATATGGGTTCGAACCCTGCTTTATGTTAGCAATCTCAATGCTGACGATCATGCTAAACTTACATTGTCTGACCTGACTAGCATATACTCAGGGGGCAAGTCGCTCTCAGCTAGTCCTAGACTTGCAAGCATCGCCAATATCCGCCGGTACATGTCGTCTCCTCCAAGCTGGGTTTCCATTGTGCCGGGTGAGATTATGTCGGTATACTTGTGTCGCAATCACGTAGAAAGCACTCTGCATAGTTGGCCATGATGTATTTATAGAGATATACTCGTAATAATGGTCGAGGAGGACCTTCATGCAGTTTTCTCTTACTTGACATCCCGTCCAGAGGTGGCATATGTAACTCTGCTTTTGGATTTATTTGTTCTCTGTTGGGAGCATGAATCGGAGGTTCCCGAGTATGCAGAATCTGACTCGCTTTGACCCGACGAGGAGCGCCACAGCTCTTGAGCAGATTTATAGACTGGGAGTTTATATTCTGTACGCTATAATTTTGCACTGAGATGTGAGGCGCTAGCGAGTTAGATGCCGGTATTTTGCGTGTCGGCAACTGTGCTACATGACGTGGAAGTGAAATATTACATTTTGATCATACTAGTACTTTCGGCTTCTTCCCTAGAAGTAAAATACGCCATTCACAATCCCCGAATACAGAAGTATATGGTTACATGACATAATAACATATACTGTACAGGCAAAAGTTTGATGAATACAAGTAATCTGCTCTTATTTTCCCGAGTGACCGTGAGACACAGTAAACCGTTGAGTTATTATATCTAATGGACAAATCAGAGCTTATTACAACCACGTAATAAGACCAGTGCTCATGTCACTCCACCGGCAATGGCAAGAGTGAACCGGGTATTTTTGGAGCACTATTCTCGGGAAAGCGCATCTCAGGTCTTTTGCCTGTCACACAGAAACGGCGTTGTTCTTGCTCCATTTACACTTCCGACGCATCTAACATGCATCATGCGGTGTGTGATCAACTTTGTACTACTTTTAAGCATTCGTGCCGTCCATGACACCTTTATTACTACTCGTACTGCAACCGTTGTTTTCTCCATTCCCGGATAATAACATTTTGAGCGAGTCATATGCAAGATCAATCGCATTCTCGAGCTACACAGGGAGTTTTCTGGACACAAAATCCCTCAAAACCTGTTACCTATCCGTATACCCGACGCAGTACAGCTCAGGCCTGGCGCCTCACCCTCACAGACGCATTCGCGGCAGCGGAACCTCCCATCACACTCCCAACAAACACATTGAAATTATAATACTTGCTCCGATCGGCCACGTCCAGACCACCCTTCCCACTCAGAATAGCCTGTCCATTCCGACTAACCTGGAACGTCTGCGCCCCTATGCCCATTGTCACATTCGTCGTAACAATGCCAGCGGGCACATCAACTTTGACAGGCGCGTAGGACCCACTCGTTACTGTCAATGTAGCAGGACTACTCAACATTGTCGATACAAAGATACTATCACTAAGCATCTGGAATCCATTCGGCGCAGGCATATTATCCTCGGGACAGTTCACCCCCTTTGGCGTGGGCCGATACCAGTACACCAGCCCTTCCTGAGTGATGGTGGGCTTGCTATCTCCAGCTTTGTATGCGGCGATGTAAGGCTTGTAGAGGTCGCGCCAGGCGTCGTGAGGCATGCCCTTCGCCCATTTGGAAGAGCCATCATCGCTGTGGTTGGCGCTGTAAGGGCCGATATAGTGGGATTCGCCGTAGTCTGGCATATATGTTATTCTACTAGTTATCTTCGGAATAGAGTGGGCTATCTACTTACCGTTCCATGAGATTATTTCGACAAGACTTGGCTTCATGGTTAGCAGCTGCTCCCAACGCAGGGTGGGTAGGTTCTCGCATATGAACACCCAGTTCTTGCTGTTGAAGTGCGTAGCAAACCATGGTGAAACCGCTAACAGACCTCAGCATGGCACAGTGTATTTTGTTGAGGAGCAACTCACGCGCCATATACGTCGTGCCTGCGAGATCCTTGATGAACCGGTCATCCCAGATTGTTGTCATTGGCCCTTTGATGATGCTGTTGCCCCCGTCTGTCGGCCATGCGTACCATGAAAACGCTCCATCAGCGCCCCGCTGGGCATTGCTGGACGAAGCAGCAGGATCCTGGAGGTTAGGCACGGCATGGATAGGATGAGAGGTAGCTTGCTTGACGGGGCTCCAGTTGAAGCTGTCCCCGACGAAGGTGCTCACGACTGCGCCGCCGCGGTATTGCATCTGTGCTGGGTGGCTCGCGTATTGTTGCATGTAAGCGGTGATCTTGGCGGTGTCGCCGTTGCTCCAGTAGGCGAAGTCGAACGAGATGAATACTTTGAAGTTGACTTGCTGGGCAGCTTGGTATGCGAGTGCGAGCTGCGTCGGGGTGTACTTGTCAATGCTGGCACAATTTAGTGCGAATGCATCAATCCCGATGGCTTGCGCGGCTTTCATGTCGGTGATCCAGTCTTCCAGTTGATAGTTCTCGACGATGCCGACCTATCATAGTTAGCATTGGATATCCCGGAAGCTCAGTACGGTGACTGTCCACGGACCATGAAATGGGCGAAGACATATTTGGGCTCAGCCTGGGGCTCGGTGAGTCCGACATCGAGAGCCGGGGCTCCCAAGACTGGATTAAGAATGCTTGCCGCAATGGCAGCAAGAACGACAAGAGATTTCGCCAGCATCTTTGATAAGAATGAGCATATAATTTTCTGTCGATAAGGTATGATTGTAGCATCTCAACAAACCCGTTAAAATGCCTGGGACTCCGATTTTTATATGCCGGACTTCCTCACAAATCACCAGGCGCCTGTTACCATTCACCACTTTCTAGGCATCCTACCCCGTGCCTGAAGATTCATACCCCAGGCGGAGAATAAACCCCATTGTAGGCTTCTTCCGAGCGCAACTCTACAACAGTAACTTCCCGCTCGGAAAATAATTAAGGTTGTGTTATGCATCGAGCGTTGTATTACCTGCAGTGGCAAGTAACTACCCGAAGCCTTTGTGTAATTTCTCCTCTGGGGTTAGTATAGGTAGTACACCGGGCGCATCCACCCTAACGCAGGTTGCACTCGGGACTTTGCGTCCACTTGGGGTTGCTTGGAGGGCTCCTGACCTGATCACATTCATTGGTTTCAACGGTCATGGCCGATGGGGTTGGTCAACTTCTACAATGTGTTGGGATATGATGGGGAAGGCTATTGGGGAAGAAGGTGACATATTGTAGACCGAGGAGGGGCTGTCACTGTCCAGAGTCTATCCCAGGCAGTATCAAGTAGGGCCTGTTTAATATAGACCAAGATCGTAGTCCAATCACTAGCCTTGCTACAGTGAATGTTGATACATAGTGGCCTAAGGAGCTTTCGACATACATCCGCTCTGGGTGTCAGTAGTCTCCTCTTTGACCCCGATACCCCGGAGGTTAGCTGCTTCGATCGAGTGAAAGTTTGATAGCAATGACCTATTAACTATAATCTTGGTAAAGAGTCGAGAGTGAGAATGAAGCACCTAAAATTATAGGATGCTGCGTTACATTGACCTGGATCTTTGTGGTTGATTAGTACTATTGAGTGTTCGATACTCAACAATTGTTTACTAAGTGTGACGTGTTTATTAGTGTAATGTATCTAGTTAAAAGGTTGTAGTATACAGAAAAGAAAAGAGCGTTTTTTGACAATAGAACAATCTATACTCAGGCTGTGTGGCAATACAGGAAATAGTGCGTGGAATTCATCGAATGGGCGGATGGGCAAATTGAGTGGTGTAGTCTGATCACGTGATTGGGCCATCACATTCGCCAATTCCTGAAGATTCTAAGTAGTGTCAAAAAACACTGTCATAACCTCCTATCATGGCTAACACGTATGATTATCAAGTTCGGCTGGCACCGATTAACTGAGACGCAGAAAAGAGGTGGTGTCAGGTACCGTAGTATAGATGCCTAATGAGGAAGGCCTGCCTGCGGCCGGAACAAGGTCGGCCCGCAATCCGAGCTCCTTCCTGGAAACTCCCAGCCTCCCCTCTTGGCACCTTCCCTCCCTAGCCTCTCTGGCCATTTCATATCTCGCGTTCTCCTCCCACCACCATCCCCACCATCACCACCATCATCGCCAGCGTCACCAGCATCACCAGCATCGCCAGAATCGTCATCCTTCCCCTCGGTCCCATCATCATCATCTTTCTGTGGTAAAGGAAGTACGTGTTTCTTGCTGTCCTCGCCGCCAGTCCTGCCATTCCTGTGTTTTCATAGGACTCTCCGATCTCACTTTGTGACTTCGGATTGGGCATGTGCTCGTGACCAGGCCGCAAGAGCACGTACCAGTTTACTACTATCGTTGCCTCCATCACCTTTCATCCTCATTTATGCGAGTCAGGGCTGCTCAACGTCGCTCCAAAGCCCGGGTGGTCCTACCCTACTCTTATCGTTGCCTCCATCATCTTGCATCCTCATTTGCTGCGAGTCAGGGCTGCTCAACGTCGCTCTAAAGCCCGGGTGGGAGGGTAACTCGATTTTTCGAGGGTATATCGAACAGCTAAGGCTGTAGCACAATGACTACGACTTCGCAAAACCCGACCGCGGTCTTGAAAAAGGCTGTTCTTGTTCATGCGCCCGATTTCGATGTTTCCTGCCGTGCCCGCCTTCGTATTATTCACGATCAAGCTGCTAACCAAGGATGCATCTTTCTTTCGATCACTGCAGATCTGGCTAACCTGAGCGGCAAATCACAGGTACTGACTTTGAATATTCCTCCAGAAAGTGTTGAACAATGTGCTTTAGCTCGACAAAGCAATAATGAACTCTGTTCCTCCCACTTCGTCTCCATGCTCCCGGCGCCTGTTACCAATCTTTCGGCTGTCTCTACACTGAGTCTGAGCCTGGGTGCGACAGGCATTGTTCTTTGTCCATCTGGACTGGATTATATAAGCCCAGCTAGACCAGGCGACCTTGATATTCATTCGTTCGCGAAAATTTGTCAATCCAAATCTCTATACCTACACTTCTCCAGACGACAATTTGTGAGTAAAGAACTTGATAAGCTGGAAATCTTCTCCCGAGCCCTACGCACAAAGAGTCTTCAAACAGTGTCTCTTGACCACTCTCGCCATGGCATGATCCAGAGAGATTGGCGTGTTTTTAATTTGTCGCCCAATCCACCCCCATATCGTCAAGAGCTCGTGTCCGAGCAGTTGGAGCAGGTGGATCCACCCCTATACTGTGAGGAGTCCGTGTCAGAGCAGGTAGTTAGAAAACGGCAGAGAGGTATTTTTCATCCTACCATCTTAGGTGCTCTGTCGTTCAGTAGTTTAATCATAGTATCTAGACCCATGGTCGGTGTCATCTCATGATGAAAGCCGGAAGAGGGTACTCCTTCAAGCCCCTCCACTGATAGGCTCTCCCACCGAAGTAAATACGCCGAGTACTCGCTCCCCTTCACCATCCTCCATTCGCCCAACCATCTTTCACCGTGCTTCATCTCCTGGCGACCCAGTGTCTAAGAAACTTGCGCGTCTAGAGCATGAGCTCCGTGGTGTTTCCGATGACCTGATTTGCGAACTATTAATTCGATCCGGACGAGGACATCTGCTGGCCCTACCAAAGAACGTAGACCGTGGCCTACCATGCGAAGCTCAGAAAGTCCGTTCTACTGAGATTGAAATGGTTGAGCATCGCCTCAAACGATATGTCGATGAAATGATTGAGCGCCGCCTCAAATCCGGCATACTGGACGAAGTTATCGATAGTGCTGCAAGCGAGTGTCGCGATCAGATTTATGATGAATGCAAAACCAACCAAGCCGAATTTCGCGAACAAGTCGACGATGGTAACTCCGAGATACGCAACACAACCATGGAATGTTTGAAGGAAATAAACGAACAGGCACAAAGGCACATGCATGAATTAGAAGAGCAAGCACAACAGTGTATGAATGATATCGAGGATCAGGCAGTTGAAGTTGAGATGTCTGCGAAGAAAGGTATGGCGGAGCTCAGGCGCTGGTTCAGTACCCCTGCTCAGTCCTTACCTGAAACCATGTCAAAACCTAGCCGTGAGATAGATACTACTGCCAGGCGCAGTTCCATTTAGACTCGGTATTGGGTTCATAATGTATTATTATCTTCTGGCAATCACTTGGTCATTGGTTCACAAGAAAGGGGTGTAAGCAGTAAAATCTAGCTATAGTAGTCCCAGTCAAACGGCAAAGCATACCCAGTTGGACCATGATGCCCCCAATATCTCAATAGATAGCTGAATAGATCCACCCCTTGACTCATTGCCATTCATTTTTTAATAGAAAGGACTCAAGCCTAGATATGAAAGTCGAGTACGCTCTTAGTCACATCATAACGCAATACTACGCTCGCCGTGAGCCCCGGCCGTTTAGGCGGCCTCGCCCTACAGGTCCTCCAGCGTACCGTGGCCGACCATTCTGCGTGCAAACGTTCTGTGGTCCGAAAGTGATTCGTGGGGGACGCCCACCGGCCCACCGCGTCCGGGCGACCGTCTCGCACGGCCAACTGGTCAACGCTGACTGCAAGAGGGTCTAAGGGATGCCAAATCACTAAACAAAAGACCTTTGATTTCAATTGACTGATCTGTACTTTCAATCATTGCCAGAATGCCACGATATTGTCTACCACATGCCACATCTCAGATAAACATCCATCCATTGCTATCGACTTGACCGGACGATAAAAAATTTATCTCGGTACATAGCATATAACTTCCATTACAAATATTACTTCAAGTTGCGATCCCTTCTTCGGAATCACAAAAACCAGCATCCCTAGCTCATGTCTCAAGTCTTGAATCTTGTGTAAGTATCGTGAAAAGCTCGATTTACATTGAAGCTTGAGTTAAGACAAGCAATTTTAATCTTCTAGGTTGAACCTATAGTTCTAAGTATAGATGAAAACCCATTTTTCCTCAGCCCTCAAGCTGAAAAGTTCAGGCAGATTTATGATATTGTTTGCAAAGCTCTTTATATGCAGGTGCGACTTCCCCATGACATCGTCTGATAATGCGGTGTGTTCACAATTTGCTACTGGAGTTCATCTCTCTACTAAGCTCAACACTCAGCACCTTGTTTCACATACAAAAGTGACACGGATTCTATATATCTTTCTTACCTGTCTTCTCTCACGGCACTTTACTAACCTCGTTAGGTCCATACGAGAGAGGCTCGAGACACATTTCGAGCCCAGCCATCTTAAGATAAGTATAGAAGCTTCTCCAACCCGGCAAATTATAAGTCCACACACGTCGCCATTGCGCGTACACTCACTCGAATATAGATGCCGTTTGTCTGTCGATCATGATGGAGAATGCGATCTGTCCCGCGATGGTACGACATCATCTCTCCACGAGAATACTTTCGATCTCCGCGTGCGTCGCAAGCTGAGAACGACGGGAAGGACAATTATTAACATGCCTTCTTCATTCCCGTCTGACCCTATAAATAAAGGGGATCCGTTTAGACTGTATGGCATGATCGCTCTTCATATAAGTATATTAGAGTGATTACCAGTCACTAATTTATGCATATTAAGCATTTCCACACACCCCTCGGATCCGAAAATCATCTCGCGTCTAATTCCGGCATGGCCAAAGCTCATGGACCTTCGTTAACAGATCAAATAATCGGGGATATTAGCTCTGCATCCTGACCACCAACCACCGACCAGCTAATGCCCACCCACTGGTGGCAAAGGCTTTTCATCATTAAACACAACGGACATTTGGGTGGGAACAATTTAAGCTAGATTAGGCCAAGCTTCACGCCTTGGCAGGGGCAAGGACACGGCTTGAACCCTCGTTCATGAGACATATATTACTAAAGGATTCCGGGTCATGGATCGTAGGGACAAGAAGAAAAACTCAGTTCCAAGATTGTTACACACGGAGAATATGGGTGGGAAAGACATCCACCCATCTACCGAGGAATAGATGTCACCGGGGGGAGGTAACCCGGGCTATTTTTGTTCTGTGTACCAGACAACGGTCGGAGTAGGATACAACCGTTGTCGGAGGTTGATGGACACGCATTGATAAGGTTTCGGTGCAGGATCTCTGTTTAGATGTTGAGCCGATCCCTCTGCAGATTTAGGTAGTGGGTCTTCGGGAGACGTTGGCCAGTCACATAGTATAACGGTTTAGAGTCGCAGTGGTGTGGCAGTAGCGTGATTAGGGTAGATTAACGGGAGCATCGTGACTCCTCCAGAGTCTCACTGAGTCAGTGTCTGGCCAATCTCGCGGTTGTGGTGTATCCACCGGGCTGACTTCTATTTCTTGGCGGCTGTGTCTCGACTGTCAAATGGTTTTCCCCTGAGCTTGAATAGTGGAATTAAAGTAGAAAAGTCGGCACTAGATGCTCGGAGGCCCCACTGCAAAACCGGTACACCTGATCGGGGAGTCCGATAGATCAGAAGCAGTGGAGGAGAACCATGAAAATTGGGATTGATTGGGGAAAAAAGAAAATTCATCATAAGGATCGGACCGGTTGTAGGTACTGAACAAAACACAAAAGACAGAATTGCCACCCAATTAATTATCCGCGCACTTAGACACTCTCGTTGACACTCACGTGGGTGACAACTTGAATGCCTGGATACATGATGCGCTCCTGCGAGTCATTAGTAGTCGTTTCCACTTCCGCCTGGCTGTGTCCTGTCACTGGTTTCAGCTTGATGCTATTATGCGCATTGTACGTCCGGCGAGTAGAACTGCCGTAGATCTTCGACGGGCCATTTGAGTCGCCATTGCTAGAGAAACCGAGGAGACGGTGAAGTCCCGGGAAGCAGGTACTAAGGAGGGACTTGAAGGAGGGAATGCATGCAATGAAAAGTGCGACGGCGACTTCCACACATGACCAATTCATAGCGTTCACTAATGACCCTGTAGACATAGAACGTTAGTAAGTTCCAAGCATGTAATGAACAGCGACAATGTGACCTACAGGTATGGTCATTAGAGAATGGATTCAGATATGAGACCCGGATAATACTGGTGACACACACACTAAGCATCCGATAGTTAGTTTTGTCCACCGGTTTAGTGTAGAGGAAGGGTTCGCATACAGAAGACCCAGACTGAACATGATCACCAAGCCCGCTCGCTTGCCCACCGTCATCTTCAACCGCACCAGCTTAGGCATCGGCATCAGAAACAAAGCCAGGTCACTAGCCAGCTTGATCCCAAAGTTTGCATAATAAAAGGCCGTCATGTTCACACAGTGTCCCTCGACGTAGCCGGTGGCGTCCCACGCTTTGTGAACGGGCGTGCACTGAAAGATAACAACAAGAGCTTCTGAGATTGTTTCCCCAATGATGATGACCAGCACACACCAACAACCAATCCGAAACCACTTCCCCGGGAAGATAGAAAGGTAAAGAACACAAAAGGAGATTTTGATAAAGCCGAGAGCGAGAACGTAGGCGAGCATGGTCACGAAATTGAGCTGTAATCAATGTACAGTCAGTATACATTGTCGTGGTAGTCGTTGTGTCAGAGATGGTCCATACCCTCAGGAACATGCCCCGGTCGCTCATGCCTATTATACCAATATGCCTACCAAATCCATATTTGGTCACTGGGTGAGTAGCCTGTTAGTATATTATGTCACGTCTTATGTCGCTCGGAAAACCACTTACTGAGCATGCAGGTAAAGCAAAGAACGAAAGTAAAGACCTACACACGTCAGCAATGATTCAGCAAAGACTAGCAGACAGACAATACTGGAAGTTTGGCAAACATACCCAACTGGTGATGCAGAGCACATCGTCAAAATTGATTCCGGTGAGGTGTCGAATACGGACGAAAATTCGAACCAACAGACCGAATGTCGCAAAGACGAGGAGGATCACATTACAGGCAATGATCTCAGGAATCCGAGTCTGTGCCAGGTAGGCTATCCGCTCCGGCGAAAGATCTCTCTCCCAGATTCCTTCCATGGGGAAGACCTGCTAGCCGTGGAAAGGAAGGGACCAAAGAGTGAAGTCCAACAAAGAAGGGGATGGTCACATTTGCAAGAAGGGATTGAGCGCATGCAGGGAGAGAAGTCATGACGGCGATAATCGCATATATGCCCCTGTAGTCTGCAGGGCCCGGGCTTGTTTCATCCGTCAACCACGAGTGGGGAAACGGATTTTACGACGCGTGGAATCCCCCACCGGCAGATGGTGTCGCACGTTGGGCTTGGAAGCTTCAGGGCAGGAATTGGCATTAGGCTGTGATTGATGGAATTGGCTGTTCATCCAGACCGCGGTTCACCGGACGATTTCCACGCCCCCACTCGCTGATCCACTTGTTAATAATTTTACAATTTTTTCCACGAACACATCCTTCATAGCCAGGAGAGGTTAAGTCTCCATCGCTGGAAGGATGGGTGTTGGCTAGAAGCTAAGCTTTGTAGGGGTTCTTCCAGATAAACCATCGCCAGGAGCAACTACCACATACGATCGATCATGATGTTCAGATCTGTGGAGGAGACCGTCCGCCCTATGCACATTGTCCCTGCGTAAATCATTCGAATTTCTATAATGAATGTATTTGGCCTTTTGTTCCAATGTTAATTGCCTGCATAAGTAGGCCCTAGAGTCGCTAATTGTTGCGGTCGCATTTACTACTCCACAGCATAATCAGTTGGGGCCTACCAGATCCGCGACCTGATCATTCGGAGGTGAGCTTTAACTACGATACGACCTAAATCAGGTGGTATAAGGCCCTTCGGCAAGACAAAGGATAGACAGAATAGGAGGATGGTGATTGTACTCGGTAAGTGAAAGGTAAGAGGTCGAGAGCTGCCGGACAGCCTGTTGAAGAAGTTACTATGCACACTACGGGTATTTGAAACCCACTAAGCAAGGGTCTACAATCTAGACTTGTGATACGCTCTCAGATGGCATTTCTCCTTGCAAGATGGGGATAGCAGGTAGATATGCCCACACGCGCACTGAAACTCTAGTCTGTTTTACCGGCAATTGAGATGTCGCATTTGGGGCTCATGGAGACGGCTTTAATCGTCGGGCTGTTTTGTCTATTTGCAAGATATGCTCCATATAATGTTGGCTTGTCTGAGGCATGGGCTTCGGTGCACGGTTTAGGCAGCCTCCCAGCCTCCCCGTCACCAGTTATCGATTTGTCATTGATCTGGACTGTTCCAGCCAGCCTTTTCTATCTTCACACATCATTCTCATTTGTTCAGCTACATGGTTAACCCATCCCACCAATTACTAACTCCTGGCTAGCATCTATATATGCTTTCGAAGCCAGTATCCGCATCGGAAAGGTCTTCCTGCTATTACTAGAAATATCAGTGATATCACCTACCTTGATTAGATCTTAGCCGATTATGTATGTTTAGATCCAAACCCACAAACGCATTATACCCAATTTACTCTCTTCGGTATCAGCAGTCGACTTTTAGAACATTCCGTAATGTCATTGTAATGGAATGCTTGCTGTTGGTCTCAATGTCATTGACGTCATTTCACTACCCGTGGTATGATGAATGAGCCAATGTTCACCGGTGTATTTTCTTTGTTGTTCTTTGTTACTTTTTAAAATCAGAGGTTTTTACATAGATAAAGATATGAAGATATTAGGGTATTACATAGACATTCTGAGAGACGTCTCAAGGTATATATCGGAATACTAGTGCCTCCAGCTCTCGAAGAAGCTCGGGACCTACGGCACTCAACGAACGATCCTTTGTGATTTGATGTCGTCAAAAAGCAGACAGATCATTTGTCAATTTTCTCATCAAGACTTACTACGAGTTCATAATGGCGCCCACAGGAAAATCACCCCTTAATTTGGTCCTTGGAGCGGGAAATGTAGTTTCCTTTCCTCGATCGAACCTCTGTTTTTTGTGTCTCCTAATACTAACCTCCACTATCTAGGTTGGAGACAAGTCTGTCGACCCCACTGCACGCTTCGATACTCCCAACGAAGTGAATGCCTATGTCAGCGCCTTTGCTGCCCGTGGATATCATCGAATTGATACCGCACGCCTCTACTCACCCATGGCACCTGGTAGCTCCGAGCCAAGAATCGGTGCCATCAACGTTGGTAATGAGTATATCCTGGATACCAAAGTCAAGTCCGGCCAACCAGGATGCCATACGAAAGAGAAGGTCCTCGAGGAAATCGATATATCTCTCAAGGCTCTGAAGATTAAACAGATATACACTGAATATCTTCACCTACCGGATCGCGAGACTCCATTTGAGGAGGCTTGTGAAGCTATGGATCAAGCGCATAGAGAGGGCAAGATCAAACATTGGGGTCTCTCTAACTACACCGCAGACGAAGTCCAGCGGATTATCGACATCTGTGAAGAACGCAGCTTTATTAAACCTAATGCATACCAAGGCCACTATAACCCTATTGTCCGAAGCGGAGAAAAGTGTCTCTTCCCACTTTTGCGTAAGCATAGAATCGCGTTTTATGCTTATAGCCCTGCCGCAGCTGGCTTTTTCGCCGGCAATCATAAGGATCTCAAAGCGGGTGGGCGTTTTGACCCATCGGTAAGTGCAACATTTGGCACTCAAAGTAAACGGGGGCTGACTGGTCAAAGCATATGACTGGCACATTATACTCCGGAAAATACCTGAAGCCTGCCATTATGAAAGCAACGGATAAGACTCTTGAAGTTGCGGCTCGCCATGGCATTGGTGGCCATGCTGCTGCCCTGCGCTGGAGTGCGTGGCACGGTATTCTTCGCAAAGAGTATGGAGATTCCATCATTATTGGTTCCTCCAGTATCGCCCAGTTGGAATCGAATATCGACATGATTGAGGCGGGTCCGCTGCCTGAGGATGTTGTAGCGGCCTTGGAGGCACTTTATCATGAGATTGGTGATGAGGTGCCTTACCATCTATAGCTCGCTAGACGGATACTTGTGGTAATATTCCGTACAATCTGGAGGCCCGGCGGCGACCTGTATACCCTGAGTTCATCCATGTCAATATGGGCGTAAGTTAGTACAGCAGTTTTCCAAATCTGACCATTCTGACATGGGTGTTAATTATCATATTATCTAATATGTCTCATCTGAATCCATCGTAATGTCCGCATCAGCTGTTCTAGGTCCTCGATTACTATAAGATCCGCTTTGCATGGGCAAAAATATAAAACCACCAGCAAGCAATACGGCAATCCTTAGAAATCCTCTTCAACATTTTTAAAAATTGGCAACAACTCATTGTATGATTAACCAAGGCTTTAGCCTACTTCATTGACCCACGAAAATAGCAACCCTTCGTATTTAAGATTGTGATTGACTAGTTGGCGGAATATGGCTATCACACTACTCTGGGGGAAGTATTTTCCACCCTAAAGACCCCTATCACAGGTTATCACGGATGTCATTGCGATCGACAGGCCATCCGTGTAAGGGCTCAGCCGGGCAGGCCCGATAAGGTGTGGTTGCCCTGTTACCCTAGCGAGTGCTGGTAGTTTAACTGATTAAGAGTTCAAGAGGCTGTTTTAGCGCGTCCCTTCCGCAAGCTAAAGTGACACCGCTGCTCTCCATCCGTCTTTCATTGGCTTCCTCTATCATAGCGCATCTCCGCCAAATCCTCACAATTGAGCACGATCAGTCTTTGGCCCCCAAAACACACGGACTCGAGCAATGGTTTTTCCGATCCCTTATCTTTGTGTTCGTCAGCCTCAAAGCTCGATGGCATTTCCGCCCGAAGAATCCAACAGAAACCAATTCTGGGGGTCATAATCCTTGCGCGACCGAAGGAGGTGCATATTCGACCTTGAACCAACAACAACCGGCATACGCTCCGGTTCGTCCATAATCATCATGTCTTCACAAGTCTGTCATGGCATGCACAACGGGGTAATTCAGAATATTCAGGCCGACCTGCCGTGTGGTGTCACCAACTCCAGTCATCCCCATGTTACCTGCTGCGTCAATGGCGATTACTGCCTCAGCAACTCCATCTGCGTGAACACGAACGATAAGAACGGGGATTATTATTATGCGGCCGACTGCACAGACGAGACCCTGACAGATCCTGCCTGCGGGACACGATGTGGTGAGATACAATTGATTTATCTCCTGACAAGGACAATGCGATCGATCGCTAACATGAGTATTATCTTCATTTTCACAGGAGGCAGAAACAGCGCCGAGATCGTATACACCTCCGATGGCTACTGGGCCTGCTGCGAAAATTCATCCGGGACGGTCAACTGCTCGAACCCTTCCGATGAAATCTTCCCCGGCGTCGCACCCTCAAAACTCGCGACCATTCAATATCTGCCGTCCACGGCGTCCGGCACGCCAACTTATGCGGTCGCATCTTCTACCTCTACCTCCGATTCCTCAAACGCTAATACCACGACAACTTCCTCCTCTTCCTCTTCCTCTACCGATTCATCCAGCAGTGCATCTTCCGGTATCGGTGCCGGCGCGGCAGCCGGAATCGGTGTGGGCGCTGCCGCAGGATTCGTCATCGTCGCAGCCATACTAGCACTTCTGTACTTCCGCCGGCGGAAAGCGCAGAATAATGGCCTTCCCCAAGGAGCAGGGGGATATAATGGGTTGGGAGATGGTTCGTGGGCGCAGACTCAGCCCGTGGTTCATTCCGTATATGAGCTGGATCGGACCGGGCCGCATCCCGAACTGGATGGACAGCCTAAAGTTATGTAACCAGCGAAGGGTTACGAGGGATACTGATGGCAATGTTGTCATTAATGAATGGAAAGGTGGGTTGTAATAGCATGGACCTAATAGAAGCATAACCACTATGGTGCCTCTTCTCCTATCAACCTGAACCCTGGATGACTTGCGCCCTGGGATAGGTTGGGTCTGGTTACACCGATACCTTTTATGGTGACGATTACGCATTAGCTACTGTACATAATGAATGTTAATACCGATAATTATGACTGAGACAACGTGGTTCTGCCAGAATGGCAATGCGCATTCCATAATACCCGGTGTTTTCGTGGGACACTCGGTCTCCTGCTCTGGTCACTCAGAGTTTCGAAAAGTGACTGACATTGGCCAAACATTATGTGACACTTCATTGCATTCTTGGTCGGGTCCACGACCATCTTAATGCACATATTCACATATTTTCAAGGTAAATGGCATATGGAATGTTGTATCATGCTGCGGTCTGTGTACATATACATAGAAGTCCCCACAGTTAATGTTCATAACGAAAGAAAAAGTGAACCTGACTGAATAAGTCGAAACGATAAAATAACCAGAAATCTCCAAGTCATGTCCTCGTTCAAGGAAACGGATCATACTGTTCCTTCCCCCAGCAAGCCCCCTGCACCTCCAACCCCGATACATTCTGCTCCGGCCTCCCATCAGCCCCAAACCGCTTGATCACTCCGCCATTCTCCCCAAACGGCTCAAAAGCCGGCCACCCCATCCGCTCCAACCCATTCTCCGGATCCCTCATAAACGCCAACAGATAATCCTGCATAGCCTCACTCGTCTTTTTCTCCAGCAACGTCCCGTTTCCACGGACAATCGGATACGTCCCGAAGTTCATCGTCAGGTCACTGGAATGATACGCGCCCAACCAATGCATCGGACTTACGTTACTGAAGTTACCAGCAAATTGGTACCGATATGTTGTGCGATTCGCATTATACCGCACGATACTTGTGTTTGCGGACACGCAAAGCCAGCCCTCCAATGTGGCGGCGTTCACGCCAGGTTGCCATGGTCCCGCGGTGACGTTGTTCGTGGGGAAAGTGTACAGCGCTGCGGCCTCGTTGGCGCAGTTGGACATGATGGCCGGGGTGTTGGCGATGAGGCCCTTGGCAGCGCGAGCGGGGTAGTCTGAGAAGACGACCTTTTCGTCTGCAATGGGGGTGAATGTTAATTTTGGGGTTGTGCCGTTGTCGGTGTACTGTCCGACGAAGTTTTGGATGCGGTTGACGGAGACTTGGCGCATGCAGTCAAGTTCAGCGGCCGGGTTGGTGGGGAAGTCGCAGCCCATGTGTTTCGCGACGAAGGTGAAGTTCGTGTGGTCGTGGTCGTAGTTGTCGAGGGGCTTTAGGGCTGTGCCGGATTGGGAGATTGTGGCGCGTGCGATGAGGTTGTCGTGCCATGCGTAGGTGTGGAAGTCTGTGGAGATGGAGCCGGCGGATTGGCCCCAGAGGGTGATGGCTTCGGGGTCACCGCCGAAGTTGTGGATGTTTTCGTGCACCCATTCCAGGGCGGCGCGTTGGTCGAGGATTCCGAGGTTCTGGTGTTCTAGGCCGGCGGCGTTGGGGAAGCCCATGATGTTGACGCGGTAGTTGGTGGTTACGACGATGTGGCTTTGGGTGCGAGAGACCCAGGATGGAGGCAGCTGGTAAGGAATGTTGATTCCTCCGGTTTTGAAGGCTCCGCCGGTGAAGAAGACAATGACGGGGAGATTGGTGGCGTTGGTAGGAGCCCAGATGGCGAGTTGCAGGCAGTCTTCGGAGCTGGCTTGGGCCATTAGGCCAGCGGTGGAGTTCTCGTTTCCGTCCCATATGTAGAAATCGGGAACGATGGAGCCGAAGACGCTGGGGTTACCGGATACATATTGGGCGCAGGAGGGAGGGTAATTGGTCGCGTAGTGGGTTTCATCGGAGTCGGCGAGAGGCGCGGGTGGAAGCCATCGTCGTGAGGCTACCGGGGGTTGTGCGTATGGGATAGATCGAAACTCCCGCACGGAAGGGAAGTCTGGGTTGAGAAGGCCTCTGAATTTGCCTGTTCTTGTACGGACATTTAACTGGTCATCACCTGCAGCTGTTAGAGCCGGCAGGAGGAGTAGGAGGCTGAACAGGATCATGATGAATAGCGCATTGATATGAGTGCTGGGAAGAGTACGGAGTAGATGCTTGCCTTTATGTGTCCGGGGTCCCCACATTCATGAAATGCTAAACTTCAGCTGCTAAGCACTCTTGCTAACCAGAAGTGCATACCGGCATCGGCACTGACCTCGGTAGAGATACTCTAGAGAGGGTCAGTTCCACGCGGGGGTGGGTCCGATCCCAGCAGCAGCGATATGTTATTCGCGTCCAGGGAGGTCGGCTGCGTACACCCATGATTGGGACTGCTTGGAGTGCAGAAGCGCGGGTGAAGAGTTGCCCTGCCGATCGCGGAATATCCGGATGGCCCATCCGAGTGGAAGAACCTGGAGTATCCGAGGATATGTGGCCGGTATTTCCGGACTCCCAGGCGGAAGTGTAAAGCGATGAGTATAGAACCAAGTCGACGGTAGGCCAGGAGGATAAGCCTCCATGTACCACTCGTTGAATTATCAAGGGGTGGACCTCGCGGGAAGAATACTAATAACCGGATGGTCTTCATTCAGATGGAGGACTATGTGTATACAATGGGATAATAATAATCAGGAAGGAGACAAGAGTGAGGATGTTATTTCCAGGGAATAAGGAACCTGCAATGCTGAGACAGAGTACGGAAAGAGAATTAGGGCGCAGGGCAAAACTATTCTGCAATCATCAGCGCAACAGCTACGGCGGTTAATAGCGGCCATCGGGCAAATGCAATTTTTTGGTGTTTACTACCGGCAGAATTAGTATGTAGCTGATTGGATTATGTAGCTTATCTAACATACTTATCTATATCTATATAAAGCTATATATATACTATTAAATAACTTACTTGGCTTCGCTATATAGATGGCTACTAGTCCTGAGCACCATGAAGAGGTGCAAGTCTTATTCAGGATATTATATACAGGTATCTTATATAACTAAAATACAGGTACAGGTACAGATATATATTAATAATTAAGAAAACAGTTATACGCATCTAATTATTATTAATAATAATAAGTTTATTATTAATAAAATTAATAATTAATATTTTTTTGATATCCGGATTCTTCTTCTTAATTAAAGAATCTAGATATATTAAAAATATTAATATAATAATTATTTCTTTCTTCTTTTTCTCTTTCTCTATAATAATTAGATCTATATAAGAGACTTCCAGTGCGGGTAATCTTCTATTAATAATAGATATAAAAGACTGAGCTTTCTGTAAAATATTTTATATTAAATCTTAGATAGTATAGCTTAGAGTGGTTAACGGCCAGGGTAGGGTAGGTTAATGGAAAAATTTATACCTGCCGTCAGGTTAACGGTTAGGTATAAGATTTCCTTATACCTAACCGCGGAACAGCTAAAAATAGGACAGTTAACTGTCTTAACTGTTCTTAATACTAAGACTTACCTGCTATACCCTTTTAAGCCTTAGCACGGGTAAGATATATTCAGGTTAATAACTATCTATCCTGATTATTTATATCTTTTTTAATAACTAACACAAGACTAATCTTCTTAATTTCAAAGATAATTAAAAAAAAGAAAATAACATACTTTATCTTATCTTTAATTAATTAATCCGAAATCACCTTGGGTGGTGGTAGAAATCAGGTTTTTAGAAAAAAGCTACTCTTATAGTATGAAATAGTAATAAATATATATATTTACAGCTTTATTTTAATTATATATTACTTATAAATTATAAATATTCTTTAAACTATTTCTCTAGGCTGGTAAATCTCTCTGAAAATTATCTTAGATAATAATAAATATACTTATTATTCTTTTTACAGACTTAAAAAGGCCTCCAAGCATTAATAATAAATTTAAATACTATAAATTATCTGTATTATTAAATTATAATATTCTGTGCTATTCTATTTATTTAGTTTATCTGGAAATCTGTACTTCCTGATAACTATAAATATAAAGACTTTAGACAGTATTCTACTAAGGTCTGTAAAAGACTTTTACAGATTTTATTAATAATAATTATTATAATAATTATAGAATATCTCTATAGAACTCCTACTTATATTACTGGATAAAACCTGATTATCTATTATATCAGAGATATTCTATATAATAGTTACTAGATACTGTAAAATCTTATCTATAAATAAGATTAGAAGGTATTTTTAATAAAAACTTACTATTATAAAATATTCTCAACACGTGTAAATATAATAAATCATATTTATATTAACACGTGTTTAGAAATAAAATAATACTAGATTAATTAAGTTTTCCTTATTTTTTACTCTCTTTGATTACTTGTACAGATGGATAGCTTATTATAAATTAATTATAATTATTAAATTTATTTTTAGAGAATATTATTAAACTTTTTTTCTTTATTTCACAGATCTTTATAAATTATAATAATACCTGAATAAAGAATAATTTCTCAGCCTATATTATCTTTTCTCTAAATCTTGATATTAAATATATTATAAAATATCAGAAAATTATTTTATATCCAGCTCTCCCGGAAAAGATTCTTATCTTTTAAGACTGGTAGCAGGTAACTGCTTTTAACCAGACTTATATATAAGACTAGAAGCTATTATTTCACTTTAATTAAAAAAAAACAGTAATAATATAAACTTACTTTTAAAAAAATATATTATTTTCTAATAGAACTTCTTATATTTCCTGTATTATATATTTATATATTCTATAGTATCCAGTAGTTAATAACTCTGGGACTAGTTCTATGAGCTATTATCTTTGCAAGGGCTGTAAAAAATAAATATCTTAGTATATTTCTAAGTAAATTATTAAATAAATACTGGATAAAGAATTATCACAGGTATATAATTACTAGTAGTATTTTTATAAATATTAATTTTAGAATCTTATTTTTAGATAAAATTCCTGGATTCTTTAATAAATTAATATTATTAATATTTACTATACTATCTTTAGGCTCTTACTGCTTATAATAAAAGAAATTTTTTTAATTAAGTTTTATACTTTCTTATTACCTGCCGCCTGCTGTTTCGCATTGTTGAGTATATCTAGTTTAAATAAATAATTAATTTTATTACTCTGGTATCCTTCCAAATCTCTATTTTTTCTTATCAGATACAGATCAAAGAGCGTCTTTTAAAATTATTAAAGAAGATATATATCTAGTTATTATTAAAGTTTCCAGATAGCGGGCGGATATTAATTATAATTAATTATTAGACTAGTCTAGATTAAAAAATATTTCTTGCTCTGACTGGATACTTTCTGATAGAGAATATAAATTACTATAAGATTTTATTAAATTTCTAATTAGTATCTGGATTCTACACTAGTAAGAACTTGATTAAGATTATCTTAGAGATCTTATAAAAGTACTACCTTACCCACCAGCTGTTAAGGGTAATTACTGATAATACTAGTAATAATAATATTATATTCAGTATTATTATATCAGAACTCCGGGCTTAATTTAGCCAGGGCATCTATTTTTATAATGCTATAATAAATTTTAATCTTATAAAGATTATCTGAAGTTAGTATTATATCTTTTATCTGGCTTATATTATTCAGCTTTCTGTTAATATCTTTCTTTGGAAACTCTGAATTGAGGCTGCTAATGAAGCTGTTAAATATATATAAAAAAATAATAATAAAAAGCTGAAGACCTCTTCTGGTATCTTCCAGATAATTAAAAAGATATATAATAAAAATTATCTGCAGAAGACTTTTATAAATAATTTTTATAATTTATCTAATATCTCTTATCTACTTTTCTAATTCTTGATTATAGATTTAGAAGATTATATATTTTATAAATATAAGTTTCTAATACCGGGAAAAGTTTCAGCTTACTTAATAGCTAAAGTCTGTTTTAGTATACTATCTTTTTTTTAATTATAAAATTTAATAGAATTTAATCTACTTCATGATTTATTGTATAATTAAATTATGTCCAGCTATCAAGAGCTTTATCCAGTACTAGAATTATAATAATATTAACTATCTTTATTTTACTATAATAAAATAAAAGTAGTTAGAATATTTATTTAAATTTTTATATTTCTTTTTTCTCTTCATCTCCTGCCTGTCAGAGAACAGTGGGTCTATAATTTATAAGATTTATAATATTTATAACAACCTTTTTAATTATCTTAACCAGTCTATTAATTAGCTGGTATAAAAGTAGGTATTCTAAAAGAAAAAGATTCTCCAGGGCCTGGAGGATATATATCAGAAGTTTTATAAATATTATTACTAAATTTATTAGACTGAAGACTATATCTATATAATTATAATAATCCTAGACCCCATGTTAAAACTTGAAAAATTCAAGAAGAGTGCCTAGCTAGATAATAATATTAATTAATATTTTAAATATTAAACTATCTTTGAAAAAATCTTTTATTTTTATTACCAGTAGAATCCTGCTATTAATATATTATTTACAGTTTTTAATATATTTTTAGATCTGGACAAGGCTTTTTATAATATCTTAAAATATTAGAAGTTCTTATCTTCTGCAGTAATATTTAAGAAGCTTAAAATCTATCTTAATATTAAAAATATATAAGTTATCAAAGATTGGATAAATAAATTAATTATTTTTAAAGTTATACTTATATTAATAGTTATCTAGGAACTACTAGATACTCTGATATTCTTATCTATTAAAAATTTTATTATAATCAGTTTCTGATTTTTTACTGCATGGCTAGGAACTTCCTAACTATTATAACTAATAATATCAGTATTAAATATCTCTTTAATAATTCTTAGAATATCTGCTATTATTACCAGAGCTATCTATATCCCGAGACTATTAAAGTCCTTATACTCCAGATATACACTGATTATTTTATTATTATTAAGGAATACCAGGATATTCTTAATAATTTTTTTCCAGATTCTATTATATTTACAGCTAAGAATTAAGAAGATAATAAGCTAATAATAATCTTCTATATTAGTAAAAATGAGAATATAGATAATTTTAATAATAATTCTAAATATAGAATATTATTAAAAAAAGAAGATCAAGCTCTTCCTCAGTCTAGTAATATTATATATATCCAGATATAAATAAATACTTGAACTGTATAATATCTTCGCTATCATGACCACCGACCAGGATAATATAAAAAATAACTTAGATAATTATTTATATATTTCTCTTTAATAGTCTAATCTAATTCTATTCAGATTCCTAGTATTATTTATATAAGCCTAACACGGGAGTTACTGGGCTATTGAATTACTAGCTACTGGCTGTTACTGCTAGCTAGAAAATAAAATTATTAATTAATAACTAATCTAACAAATATCTGTTCTAATAATATAGTAATTAAAAATATATTACTACTGGTATATTATTCCTGTAAAGTCTCTGTATAAATTATTAATTAATTTATAGTTATTAACCTTCTGAGTATACCTGACCTTTCTAATCTGCAGTTAAGATCAGTTAAAGTAATCTCTTAATCTTAATCTATTCTTAACTGTACAGTTAAGAGGATTCTTATACCTTAACCTAACTGTCAGGTTACGGTTAAGGTTAGGTTAAGGTATAACGGTCAGGTATAACCACTCTAGTATAGCTGTTATTAATATTAAATTATTTATAATTAATGTAAGTACTGCTGAATATATCTGGTAAATAATAATATTCTGGGAAAATACTTTCTATACTATTACAGTATCTGAAATACAGGGCTGGTAGATGAATTTTTTAAAATTATATTAGTAAAGTATTAATATAGCTTATTTAGTATATTATAATTTAATAAGTATAGATCTGGCTATATTAAAATTTAATAAACTATATTCCTAGCCGGGCAAGTACTTGCAGTCTTATATTAATATATATAAATAAAGCTAGTCAATCTAGATCTTTTATAAAAATTATAAAATTAGTACTAACCAGGAGCTCCTTGTATAACAATATCCAGTATTATTCAAGATTAAGGAAGACAGGAATAGACAGACAGCAGCTAGTAAATAAGTTAAAAAGAAAAAGAAAAATATTAATATAATAATTATTAATATTATTATTATTATTATTATTATATAAATATATTATAGAGTCAGTTTTATCCTGTATAATAAAGATAGAATAAATAGATAAAAAATTAAGCTCAGTAATCTGTTTTTAATTATCTAATATATATATAGATATCTTGGTAGTGGTGATGGTAGTAATAATAATAATAATAGTAATAAATATATTAATAAAAGATAGAGATAGAAGATAAAAATTACTTAATAAATTTAAACTAATATTATATTTACTGTTTTAACTGTTTATTTCTTATTTTATATATATAAAGATCTTATTATTATAAACTTTACTCTGTTTATTCTAGCCTGTTATATAAACCCATAATCCTGCTATCTAGTAAAATAATATATAATCAAAGATCTAATAATTTATATTTAGCTGTTTAATTTTTATTATTCTTTCTGATCACATATCTCTTCCTCGTACGATGAGGTAGAGAAGGAGACTGGAATAACTAATATTTTAATAAAATATTTAAAATCTCTATCTTAGTATTTAAAATATTAAGATTATCCTGATCTTCTTATATAATTAATTTCTTTTATATAACTGACTTTTTTTTTAATAATTTTTTTTTAATCTTAGTCTCCTCTGCCTCATCTGTAGTAGAGGAAGATATTATACAGTACTAAATAATTATATAAATCTAATATAATTTATTAATAAATATAAATTATTTCTTTAAGAAGTCCAGGACCTTTACATTACCTTTAATTATTAAAGATAAAAAAACTAGTTATTTTTTTATAATTCCTGTTAATAAACAGAAATAATCCTCTGTATTATATATATATATATAATTAATTATTAAGGAAAGCAGCTCATCTTAAAAGAAGTTATTAAGACTATTAAGTATATAATTATTAATATAAGTCTGTATCTATTTTATAAAATAATAAGATTAGCATTATATAAGTATTAAAAATAAAAAATCAAATCTAATAAAATATATATAATAATTAGAATATTATCTTCAGATTCCCCTTTCTGTATATTATACAGATAAAAATAAATAATAATCTTTATACTAGCTGGATTTTTTAAAAACTTTTTATATAAAAGAGTTTTCTGGCGGATATTCTCTTTTTTAAAAATTATTATACAAGAACTACCACCAGATGAGGCAGTCTGTATATATAAACTAGATTATATAAATTATAACTTAGATAATATAATAAGATTAATATAAATAGTTTATTTAGATACAGAATTAACTGCCTAACAAATCAGACACTGTAGAAAATAAGCAGGATAAGATTAGCCAATAATAAAATAATAAAAAATCTAGAAAAGAGTTATTATATATAAAAAATACCTTAGATAAATAATATTTTGTATAAAAGATATTAATTTCTATTTTATATAATAAAGAGCAGGATCTTAAGACTTTAAATAAATAATAAAATAGAAAAAATAATAAATAAAAAATATATAACTATTATAAATAACTATTTTAATCTCTGTTATTTAATCTAATTAAAGGCCCCGGTTAGTACCTCAGATAATATCAAATCAGGCTTAATATTTAATTTTATATATATTATTACCCACTCCTGTAAGCCAAGATAGATTATATAAAAAAAGATTTTTATTTTATCCAGATATACTGGTAATAGCTTTTTAAAATTAAAGTCTAGCTTTAGTAAGATCCCCTGATACTATTCTAAAATTTTTATAAGTAAATATTCTATTATATTCCAGTCTTATACAGAGTCTTTTAGCTGCTGGAGAGATTTTTTATATATAAAAAAATTATAGTTAATTATATATTCTAGATAATAATAATTTATAAATAATTAATTAAAGATAATATATAGCCTCTCTCATTATTTCTAGATACTATATTAATTCCAGATATATATATATAACAAGACCTGTATCTGAAGAATAAACATATAGATTATATATAAAATAATCTAATTTAAAATTATATTTTTAGAAAAGTCTCCTACTTCAATTAAAATCTTAAAATAATTCTATATTAATTAATACAGAAATAAACAAGGATTAGTCTATCTATATATATATAATATTAAAAAAATAATAATTTATTTAGCTATGCCTACCAAGACTCAATTCTCTAATTTATAATATTAAATCTAAAAATATAATATTATATTATCTTAATCTCTAGCTTATATACTCTTCAAAAATAGTAATAAGCTTTAGTAAGCAAAGATATCTCTGATTTATAATTTAAACAGATCTTATTACAGATAATCTTTTATTTATATACAGTATTAAGATATTACTGTATAATATTAATTAATATACAAGTATCAATGCCAATATAGATCTAGATAATATAATAAGAATATATATTAATAGCTATATAGATTTAGATATTATATAAATCTAGCTTTATATAACTATCCACAGACCAGATATAATCTAGTCTAGGAATTATATATAAATCATAACTTTATTATATATTATTCTTCCATTGTTGTATAGTCTCAGGTGTAATTATATAGTAAATATTATATAATTAATATTTATAAGATCTCAGTTAATAAGAAATTAATATATAATAATCCTCTGTATAGATCTTGAAATAATAAGATATTTATTATATATATAAATAAATAAAAGTTTTTATTTATAATCTTAAATAATTTTTTTATTATATGCCTCAAGCAGGTGCTTTGTAGCTATATTATTCTAGAATTAATACTTATTAAAATTATCTGTTTATTGGACGAGGCCTTGCTCTGTATAAATTTATTAAAATATTTATAAAGAGACAGTATATTCTTCAGTCTATATAATATATAGAATCTCTGTATCAGAGAGACACCTCTCAAAGAATAATTTCTTAATCTAACTATATAAAGAAGAATTAATAGTAGCTGTATAATTATATTTACTAATATTTTAATTATTTAATCTAGTCTTAATTATATACTCACTGATTTATACATAGTATCATGCCTTAATAATAGAGGTAATACGAGCTGTAGAACAGTTCTAATAAAATAGACTGATAATATTAGTCTTATACAGCTCAAGATTAATAAAAGAAGACATGTTTAATAATAATTAGAAAAAGAATCCGTACAGCATCATGCAGAGTATCATGAGATCCTAATTCGGATGCGGTATGTAGAGCGGTAAAGGGATATCAATATATTTACCCGATGGCTGCTATTAACCGCCGTAAACAGCCTAGGATAGACAGATAAATGTTCTAACGGGCAATTAAAACACTTCTGCCGACCAGCGGTAGGTCTGGAGGACGGGCAAGAAAACAAAAAATGCTTCCACGCGGATTCGAACCGCGGACCTCATGATTACTAGTCATGCGCTCTACCAACTGAGCCATAGAAGCTGGTTGTTATATTTTCTGCAGACGTTGAGAAATATTTGGCCAGAGAATTTGCACCGCCCCAAACTTAACCCTCAGCTGATAGCTTCATCTCCATAACCAGTTACTCCTTTGTTATACGCCTCTGTGCATTTCACACCATCGCACATAGGTAATATCAGCATATCTCATCTACTCTCACCACTTACGAATCCGTCTTCTCAGCTAGGATGAAAGAATGGGAAATTTGTCCCTGAGGTTTTATCGTAATATACAAGATCTAATACGAGACGATATCATCTTTAGTGGAAGGATAAATGTCCAGAGAGGTTCTCGTCTTTCAAGTGGATTTCAATATAGCACTTAGAGAAGAGTCAGGCTAACAGAGTTTAAGTGATCTGTGAAAAATTATTTCTCGTGAATCGGACCTGACAAGTCTTGCCAGAATATATATATTTGTGCTTGTATATTGTAAGTCGGATATTTGTTTCGGCTACTGGGAGTGGGAAAGGGACATCTTGTTCTATAATTTTTCTTTTCTTTTCTTTTCTTCTTTTTCCTACATTCTAAGGGTCATCTAATGATTCGAAAGCAGTATGCTCATATGCCTACTTATAAATGTAGATACACCAAAATTCCCAGACACTATTATAACCTTCAGCATACAGATTACTATGAAGTTGACTGTATATCTCTGTTGTCCAATCTCTTCTGCGGTATTGATCGCGGCTATGATTCGCATACTACAGCTTTTGATTGGTGATGCTCAGCAGTCATACAGGTTGCAATATTCGTTGTGATTATCACTCAGCGACGGAATATCTGCCGTATCCAGTTACTACTCCCCTAGCCAGATCTGTGTGGTCGAACCAGCCCCTCCCTTCACCACCACCCGATCAGAGCCCACCTGACAGACGGTAAGCGCATACATGTTCTAGATTGTTCGCGACATGTCGTTCGTGTGCATTGCTGGTCTTCAAATGCATGCAAGATGTTCGTAAAATTTTCGCTTCCAAGGAGAGATAGGTCGCAGCTGTATTTTCAGCATGCATCTTGGAGACTCTACGAATCTAACTTACGGGGTGACTCACGCAACAGTATGTTTCTGCCTAATAGAAATCTGCGGTGAGGTGTCAAAAGCTGTAGTTGTCCGTCGTTGCAGCCTGTGCTCGGGTTGCGCAGCAGAAATCGCAATCGGAGACTGTCTTATCTACTTAAGCTTCTACCTTAGCATGCATCATTTTCATTGGGATATCTGTAATTTTTTATTAGGAATAATAAGTGCCACTAACTTCTCAACAATACTCTTTGTAGAAATACTATGAAAGGCTGGTCACATAGCACATTAGTCCACACATCCTTGATTAGTACAATCCAGTCCCATGTGATCTTCTACGAACTCGGATGTTTTCATTCTTCCTCTTCGGTAGATACTTTCCTTGTAAACTTGATCATCACTCAACGCTTTTCGGTTGAGATAACCCTTGTCTTTCTGCATCCACACTATATGCCGCCATCGCCCCAACTCAACGACAGTGAGTCCAAGCTCTACGCGGGACTCTACAGAGTGAAGCAAATAATGAATAAATAGCTGAACTGAGAAAAATAGAAATTTAGAAAACAAATGTATATAGCGCGGTTACATGAAGTAGAAGCAGAAATATGTCTTAACAGACCACCTAATAAGATCTCAAGATCAACCCATAATACATGTCTACATGAGCCTATGCTTTCCAGGATTAAACCATCCTCTTGTATGCAGCAATCGAATCCCCAAAGCACTGCAGTTCACCATAGCTTGCAGACAGACTTACCTCGCCAGGGCAAGAGCTCGCATGGGTGCATTGCATTCGGATCACATCCCGCCAACGCAGACTAGCATGATGTGCTCTCCGAGAAACACAACCCTATGAGCAGGCCACTTGCAGCCTCCAATACGATCTTCGAATCCATCTATTGAACGTACATTCTGCCTCACTTGCCCGTCTTGCAGGCTTCCAATATGACACCTCTGCTTCTAAGCAGGGGCCAATCAAGACACGCGGTGTTGGGTTTCGGATAACTCTGCATAATCAATAATTGGGGTTCATCCCACAGATTAGCCTTCGGCGGGGTAAAACTTGGTCGACATACATAGACCGGAAAATGTCCATTGAGCCGAGCGAAAAGTACCTCCGAGTTATTGTACGTCATATGACTTCTCCAAATTAGTGCTGGTTATAATGGAGAAGTAAATGTTTCTGGAATGGTGAGCGTCAGGTGTGGAGCGTCAGGTGTTTCTTCATTTGGAGTGGGCGAACGGTTTTGCTAACGTTGAGGGGAATGCGGGTGGATTTCGGAACGTATCATGTTGTGGACAAGCGCTAAATGAGATATTCTTGAGTAGCTACTGCTGTTTTTGGTTAAATAGTTATCTAGACACTAATCATGAATCTATTAGGCGGCATTTGTTCGGTACAGCGGTGACTAGTGGCTGTTGTCCGAATGCGGCAAAATTATAGGACGTATCTCAGGATTGAGGTTTATTGCAGACTAGGTTCATGTGCAGAGTCTATGCGCCTAGATTGAGCTATTCCTTTCTGGAAGCCTGAACTGCCCTGTATTGCCAAGTTTTAGCTACTGTCATATACCCCTGGTTAGGTTACTCTATGTGAAGATGTCATTATATGCACAGATTGACTTTGGCCAGAAAGGGTGTTTGCATGCATACATGTATTGCGCAGGAGACCCTGCAGAATAATTTAATATTTGGTGCGCTACTGTACATATGCTTTAGAATGCGATGAACTCAATTATGAGCCTATGTAGTAACCATGGAGTATTGGGTTTGCCTGATATCTCCTGACCGCAGCCATACTTGGATTGTGTCCTACCGTCCTTGGCACCTCTCAATACCATAACAGCTTTCTAGTAACCTTAGCCTCAGTCTTGGCATTTCTTGATTCACTTAAGAAGGCCGCTACGATGGGCACCGACAGATTTGGATAGGGACTACAAATAGCTGAAAACCATCAACTGCCACAAATGTGCCACAGTATCTTTAAACTTGAATGCGGAACGAGTGGGGTGAACAGGGTCCACTAACGATGGGTGAGGCCGAACAAGATCTGCAGCAGATGTGACAGAACCGTTATATTGACCTAAACTGGTCCGCTACTTCAACGCTATCTATGCTGGCGCTAACTCAAGTGATTGATGTGTCACCTGAATAGTACCGGCTCCTGAATAGTGTAAACAGAGTTGAACTATTACTTGCTTGAGAGCTGGTTAGACCGATGCAGTCCCTGAACCTATCGTCCACCCATAGTTCGACCTTCTCCCCTCACGCTTACTCTACCGGCTCATTTGTTA